CTCTAGCAAATCATCGTAACTGAGTGCTCTTTGGGACCCCCAACATAGTATTCCCCACTTGTTTTTCCATACAACAAAATGGAGAAGGGCAAATAATTGAAAAATAGGATTAGAGAAATTTAGAGAGAATAAAGAGATGAATAGCTCGTATGTTCCTACTTCTATATAAACCATGCATTTGTCTGTTAGCTTCCTGGCAACCACAGTGAAAAAAAAGGCAAGCATGATCAGGTATATGATATGCATTCTCCTCACAGAGAAAACAAATCAGCTCCTAAGGAAGTAAAGATTTCCAGGTACTTAAGCCTACGAAAGTTTACTGTTATTTGTTCTTTCTAAAGGTTAGTGATTTTCAGCTCAGTATTCTCCCAATGAGGCTGTATTTAATAAAAATTTTCTAACAGATGCCTTCAGGGTAGGGGGTAGGCTTTCCTTTTTTTCCATGGCTTCTTTGCTGTCATCTCTGTAAGTTTATGCCCCAACTCAAGGCAAATCCTTCTCCTATGCACTTCCACTTGGAAAACATTTTTTTCTCCACAAACATAAACTATATATGAAGCAAAAATGTAAACAATATAAGTAAACATTAAGAAAGGAAACATTTCTACAAAAGGAAAAGGAAAATCCTCCATAATATATTCCCTGACCTCCAACCCAACCTAACCATGATTATCTGGTCTAAAGAAACTCTGGCCAGATTTTGTTTAATATACATAGAAGCCCATCTATCTGTGTGTAGCTTTGTGTAAAGTGAGTGTGTTGCTCATTATATTCTGTATTTTCCTTGACAAAAAATATCTACTATATGTTCTGTCCTACTATTTGCTTTGTTTATGGTAGATTTTCACATAACTTGGAAAAAAAACATGTTTATAGAGAAACACTTAACCAATATTTTCTTTTATACTATCTAGGTTTTATATAATGCTTTCTAAGGACTACCCCACTAAGAAATTATAAACAAAAATTCTCTTGATTCCCTTGTATTTCTCTTATTGTTTCTTTCTGTGTTTTATGGTTTCAATATTTTAGGTTTAAATTTTTGTCACATGTGTAATTAATTTTTTGTAAGGTGCGAGGTAAGATTCTGACTAGACTTTTCTTTCTCATGGCTACTTGGTTTTAAATAATCTAAAATCATTTCTCCATGGATGCAGAATGCCACTTATATCATATTATTAAATTACCATTTGTGGTTGGGTCCCTTTTTGGACTCCATTTTGTTCCAGTAACTTTTCTGCTGATGGCAGGATTTCACATCATTTCTCTCATAAAGTACAAGCAAAATCTAGGTGCACAGTAAACATTCTACACGTTTTAATGTGGTAAAAACTATGAGAATTCTCTCTTCAAGATGAACAGGTATGTGTTGAACAGGGATCAGTAACATTTAAGGACATGACTATGGACTTCCAGGAGGAGTGGCAGAATGTGGGCTTTGTTCAGAAGGCCCTGAATAGGAAAGTGAAGCTATATACTTAAAACCACCTGGTCTCTGTGGGTAAGAATGACTACCCTCTGTGTTTAATTAACCTAATCCTTTTCTCTGTCCTTCAGAACTGGCAAGGCCAAGATCTTTATGTTTTTCCCCTAACAGGGTGTTTCTTCTTTTATTAATTTTATTAATTTTATGATTTCTGGGGTTTTTAAGTGTATGTCTGTTTGTTACATATGGAATTTATTTTTGTGTATGGTGTGAGCTAGAGATCCAGTTTTGATGGGAGGCTAATGGGCAGCTTCATTATGATGTCCCTGAAACTGGTTCTTTTCTTCATGAAGTTTTGGACTGTCAAGGCAAAAACCTTTATGATCTTCCCTCTTTTTAAGTAGGCGTCATGCCCAGTGTGGAGCCCAACATGGGGCTTGAAATCATGACCCTGAGATCAAGACCTGAGCTGAGATCAAGAGCTGGACACTTAACTGACTGAGCCACCCAAGCGCCCCTTTGATTTTCCCTTAACAGCATTTCTTGTTTATTAATAGAAACATTTTGGGCTAATGAATTTAATTTGAGTACTACTTTAACTGTGATCCAATCCAATGGTATTCTGTTTTTTAATAACTAAATGTAGTCCTGTTTATTTATAGATCTAACAGATTCATTTAGTCTTATATGTGTTAGATATACCTTATTATATTAATTCTTCTCTAACTTTTTTGTTTGTCCAATTGTCCTATTATAGAGCAATAGATAAAATCTCCCATTTTTAAGATTTTTGAATTTTTTTAATTTATTGTAGTTTTTGTTTTTATTATAAATGTTGACACTGTGCTATTTGGGACATATATATCTAGTTCTACTCAGATCTTAATTTTGACTTCATACTTTATAATTGAAAACTGTCAGAGTGCCTGGCTGGCTCAGTTGGTAAAGCATGAGTCTCTTTTTTTTTTTTTT